GGGATGAAATCGGATAGGGATGAAATCTGGTTTAAGAGTTTTTAAGAGTTTTTAAGAGTTTTAGCCAAATGCTTTATAATATAGTATATATATATATATATATATATTAATTTTTATGATATTTTCAAATTTATATTTTATTAAAAATAAATTACATAAATTTATGTTATAATATAATAAAGACAAAAAAAAACATTAGAAAAAGTAAAAAACATGCGATGTATAAAAGGTAGCGAAAGAAGTTGTAGATATGGAAGTCAATAGTGGTGTTGTTACCCTTCCACCGTCCTCCGTCCACCGGAATATTCCGTCGCTACGCCGGTGAATATTTCTGTATTTTAGGGTTTTTCTATGTTAACTAAATGATAACCTAACAAGATTCCATAACAAAAATGGTGGGTTCATCATCTCATTCTCATCATCAAGAAGAATACAATTCACAACTCGATCCACCGCCACGTACGGCGGAGCACCACCACCACCACCATACCCACATGCATCAACTCCTTTTATACTGTGCTCAACTCATCTCCTCTTCCGACTTCTCCGCTGCCCACCGCCTCATTTCTTTCCTCTCCGCCATCTCTTCTCCCGCCGGCGACTCCTCCGACCGACTAGTTCATTCTTTCACCAAAGCTCTCTCTCTCCGTCTCCACCACCTCCGCCGCCATCATCCACCACAAACCACCATCAACACAATCACAACTCCGACCCCCACCACCCGTTGTTGTAAGGATGATGACACAATTCTTCAAAAATCGTATCTTTCACTCAATCAAATAACTCCATTTATAAGATTCAGTCAACTCACTGCTAACCAAGCGATCTTGGACGCGATTGATCAATCGCATCATCACCAATTCATTCACATAATCGATTTCGACACCATGCATGGCGTTCAATGGCCGCCGTTAATGCAAGCCATCGCCGAACGCCACCCTCCTCCGTCTCTCCGCCTCACCGCCACCGGCACCAACCCTGATATCCTACGAAAAACCGGCGACCGTCTCTCCAAATTCGCCAATTCTCTCGGCCTCAAATTCCGATTCCACCCGATTCTTCTTCCAAACGAAGACAACACCCACGACCTCATTGACCACCTCTCCACCGTCGTCCTCCACCCTAACGAAACCCTCGCCGTGAATTGCGTTCTCTACCTCCACCGCCTCTTAAAAAACCGCGATAACCTCTGTTCGTTACTCAAAAAGATCAAGACGATGAACCCTAGAGTGGTTACTATGGCGGAGATAGAATCGAACCATAACTACCCGTCATTCATGTCGAGATTCGGCGAGGCGCTGAAGTATTACGCGGCGGTTTTCGATTCGTTGGAGGCGACGCTGCCGCCGAACAGCCAGGAGAGAATGGAGGTGGAGGAAGTGTGGTTTGGGAGAGAGATTGCAGATGTAGTGGCGGCGGAGGGAGAGAGACATGAGAGATTCCGATCGTGGGAGATGATGATGATAAGAAATGGTGGATTTGAAAAGGTTTCGTGGAGTTCGTTTGCGATATCACAGGCGAAGATGCTGCTGAGACTTCATTATCCATCAGAAGGTTATAAGCTTGTGGTGGTTGATGATTGTTTCTGCTTGGGTTGGCGGAATCAACCTCTTTTCTCTGTGTCTTCTTGGCATTAATTACAGTAATTATCATATATATATATATATATATACACATATATATGTATGTATAGGTCGAGAACACCTTCATATTACGACAACGCGAGAACATCACATGTGATAATACGCGTGAAGGGACTCTCTAATGTGCGGACAACATGTTCTACGACTTAGGGGCTGTTTGGCAGTTGCTGAATGGTTTGGTGCAGAATGGTTAAGTGGTCAGAATGGTCAAGAGGGTCAGAATGGTTAAGTACTAAATGAAATATGGTTGTTTGGTAAATATTCTCTGAATGACAACAAATTACTATTTTACCCCTCTATATGATTTAATCCAAACCAAGGTTCTGTTAGCATCCAAAATGAACGGCGACGGTAGTTTCAATCCGTCAGAATGATCGGCGATGATTTCATACAGAAAATGAACGGCGACGGTAGTTTCGATCGGCGACAGTGCTTCTTTAATGTTTTTAGCCTTGATTCAACATGAGATTTCATACAAGAAATTAGGGCTTCGATCGGTGACTGTGGTTTCAATCGGTGACTGTGGTTTCAATCGGTGACTGTGGTTTCGATCGGCGATGATTTCATACAGAAAATGAACGGCGACGGTGGTTTCGATCGGCGACTGTGGTTTCGATCGGTGGTTTCGACCAGAAAATGAACGGCGACTGTGGAGATGGCGACTGTGGAGACGAAGACGATGGAGGTGGAGACGATGAAGACGATGGAGACGGCGACGATGGAGACGAAGACGATGGAGACGGGGACGGAGATGGTGGAAGGACGGAGGCGACACAGCAGCGGGCAAAAATGGATCGATCGATTGGAAGGAGGAGAGGAGAGGAGACGAGACGAGATCGATTGGAAGGAGGCGACACAGCAGAGGGCAAAAATGTCACCAGATCCCTCTGAATCGTTGAGGGGAGCCCTAGCCCCTAAATGGTTAAGAGGCTTTTGTCACCATTAAGAGGTCCTTTTTTTTTTGCCAAACAACTCTAGCCTCTTAGCGATTAAGAGGTGTCCTCTTAATGTCACCATTAAGAGGCAACCAAACAGCCCCTTAGCCCGCGCCAAATGTGGTATGCGTCTACATGATTTAGCATCACATGTTTTGGTCTTAATGGATTATAGTATCATATCAACAACACCATTATCACATATGAGGGAGCTTAGTGGTGTAAGAGCGATTTGACCCGCAACCAAGATCGCATCGAAAATCGTCCGCGTATCTAATTTAGTATCACATGTGTATATGAAATAATAGTATTACATATGATTGTCTATATATATATATATGTATATATGTATGTATATAATAAAGCACATATATTTACATAAATCAAACTCTCGATGATGCATGTGAGGAAATCTATGAATAGAGAAAGTTAAACATTTTGCGAGAAAGCGAGAATTTTCAATATCATGTATGATTATATTTATTTGGGTGTATGTAACCATATATGATTAAGCGTCTTGTGTTGGGTTTCGGTGAGAATGGGAGATAAGATGAGAAAGGTAAGAATGGATTACTACCTCTGATACACATTAGGATGAGATATACCGGATCAATCCTCGTATTAAGAGCGATTCATGGATGAGTTTGACATTAAAATAATAAATGGTCTAGATCCGTTCTTACACTTGTTACTTTAACTTTCTTTCTGATACGATCATTTGACTAATTATTTAAGCATCTATGCGTTGTCAATAGAACATGCATTTAATCATATATGATTAACCTTGTGTATCATATATGATATTGAAACTTCTTGCCTTCTCAAAAAATGTTTATTAGTCTCTCTGTCTCTCTCTCTTTCTCTCTCTCTGTCTCTCTCTCACTATACATATAACACACACACACGACACATCGTGTGAGAATAAGAGTTTAAGGTATGAAGCGTAAGAAAACAATTTAGACTGTTGATCACTTTTAATCTCACCCTTACCTCAATAATTGCGCTTATCACGGGAATTGATCATCTGGTGCATGTCATTAGAGTTGATCTTCAATTATTATTGATCCAATGATGAAAATCCCTTATTACCTTTTTCATCATTACTTTCATTTTCACCGCAATCTAACCATGTATATATAATTAATAAGAGTCGAATTCAAACGAGAGCGGTACTTGTTTAAGAGAATAACAAACGACCAAATCACATGTGATTTTATGTTAACATCATGTACAAAATCACATGTGATTCATGTGACTTTGTTCTGCCACCTGAAGATGCGACCAAAGTCGCCAACACACCTTTTTTTGGCCGTAAAATATAAAATCACATGTCATTTTATACGTGACTTGACTATTTTTTTATTCTTTTATTATTTTACCCCCCACTTATTAATAAAGCAGTCTTTTGATGATGCAAGGAAAACAAAATATATATATATATATATATATATATATAATATGTTAAAAGTATTCGATTTGTAATAATCAATTAATAATAGGTAATTTAATTGATTATTTACAATTTGTTTTTGTTAATTATCTATACATAATGGAATTCAATTCAAATCCAAATGCTACCAACCAAACAGACTTTAGGGGTTATTTGTTTACCTCTTAATAGTTTCATTAAGAGGCAACATTTGAATCGTTAAGAGATGAATTTTGTTTGGCAAAAAAAAGAATTTATATTTCTTAATGTTCTAAAACTCTCTGAATGATTTTGTATCATGGATCTCCCTTAACCATTCAACGCTCTAATTTCATTGTAAATAATTACCAAACAATTATATTTCATTTTGCACTATATCATGAGTCTCTTAATTATTCTGGTCACTTAATCATTGTACATCAAACCATTCAATAACCACTAAACAACCCCTAAAGATTCCATATCCTAACAATTCTAGACCTTTCTACAAAATCCAAACTTCTCAATACCAAACATATCCTAATTTTGTTTGTAATTGATGAACAAATGTCAAGAAATGGAAACAAAAGAACCATAATACAATCCAAACAAAATGCATCATTTATTGTTCATTTTATGTAAGAAATGGCAATGGGGATGGGCTGCAATGGACATTAATATGACATTTATTGCAGGTTGCTCTACTGGTTATTCACACCTGCAGGTATATATATACACCGGATGATATGTATATATATACACTCTGTATCTCAAGCACACACATAAGGGTTATATATATATATATATATATATATATATATATATGATTGCGTGTAGATAGATTTGCAGTGATGGAGGGGTGCTGAAAAATGATTAGGTTGTTGCTAGCAATGTTCGATACCGCACGCAAACCCCCGTATTTACATTCATATATTATATATACGTATATATATATATATATATATATATATATAGACTTGGGATCATGTGGACCAGCCTGTTTTCGTGAGACCCGTGAGACCAACATTTTACACTTGAAATTTCACAGCAAAATGCTGTGAAGGTGACTTTTTAAAACCTTCACAGTATTTTTGCTGTGAAGGTTCGACTTTTTTTAAACCTTCACAGTGTTTTTGCTGTGAAGGTTACGTGTAAAAATGTGGTCTCACGGGTCTCACGAAAACAGGCTGGTCTCATGTGAACCCAACCCTATATATATATATATATGAGCAATCAAATGAAAACCACCCTCATTTGTAAAAACCGTAAAAACCACCATCATACGTCGATTTCATTGTTTAATCTTATGAAATGTTTTCATGAAATTGTTTAATCTTGTGAAATTGTTTCATATAATACTTTTTTTGATGAATTTGTTTCATATATGGTTATAATATTGTTTCATATAATATTTAATGATATTTTAATGAAATTGTTTCATGTATTTCTCTAAAATTAAAATAATGAAGATAATAATATCCATGATTAACACCCTTCACAATAAAAATGGTTAATCAACCTCTCATAATTACAAAAAAATGAACAAAATGAAAAATTATGATTGGTTGGATGAAGTTTTCACGGTTTTTACAAATTGAGTGGTTTTTTATTTGAACGTTCCCCTATATATATATAGGGTTGAGTTTATATGTGATCAACCTGTTTTCGTGAGATTCATAAGACCATTTTTTTACACTTGAAACTTCACAATAAAATGTTGTGAAGGTAAAAAAACCGAACCTTCACAGCAAAAACACTATAAAGGTTACCTTCACAGCGTTTTGCTGTGAAGTTTCAAGTGTAAAAAAGTGGTCTCACGGATCTCACAAAAACAAGTTGGTCTCACGTGAATCCAAATCTCTCTCTATATAAACCATAGTCTTAGAGAATCAAATCTACAACAGACTCTCTAAATTTTCCATAGAATTGAGAATTAAAAATCAAAAGTAACAAAAAGAATACATTTAGATCCAGTAATTTCTTAATTTTGAAGATTATAATATCACTTATATTATTAAAACATTTAATAATATATTTATAATGTTTTTTTAAAACATTTAATTTCAAATATTTTTATCGATTAAAATAAAAAAAAAATTTCCTTTTTCTAACCCATTTTTAATTACTTCTTCAAATTACAAAGTTTACATCATTTCTCTCATTTTTTATAGAATATTTTCATGATCATAAATCATAATGATAAGAATCAGCTGAAAATCTTGATATTGGTAGAGCTGAGCTGAATGGAAAAAGTCATGTTATTGCTCAATGGTTAATTAATGAGTGCAATTTTCATTTGTCTGGTTTTTCCAAAGACAAAATGACAACTCATAGTGTCTTTCAATTCACATTCATGTCAATAGACTCTACATGCCCTCCTATATATATTATATATATATATATACCCCTAAAAAGACAAAGTACCCTTGTAATCAGCCATGGATACTCGTACTCTTTTGCACTCTCAAGTCAATATATGTAAGGGAAATTGAGTCACATGACCATGTTCCATGGTTGAATTAACCTCCTGCCTATTTCTCCATATTTTACTCAAAAGTCACTAGATATGTAATTATTGCGGACCCACTAAACGATAAAAAAATCAATGTTTTTGGGCCAGTCTGTAACCACTAGTTCATAATTATTACGGA